ACTAAGTGAGCATGAACTTACTAGCCTCTTTAATGATTTTCAAAGTGCACAGAAAGAACGAATAAAAATCAAACAACAAGCAAACTTTGTATATTCAATAATAGTTTCCATTATCCGTTTTGACAGTTTTTCTTTTAAATTTGTTTTTAAGATATTTTATTTCTAATAAAAGGTTTTCGAGTCTCAAAGTTCAGGTGTACAAAGCGCCAAGCCATTAGAAGAACTTGAAGATGAACATCAAAAGGTGCTTATCAAACTGAAATAAAAAAATTGTTCTATATTAAAAACTTTACTTTTGAATTTTCGATTATTCTTTTGCTCGTAGATGTATTTAAGTAAAATAAATTTGGCGGAAAAATATCAATTCGCTCGTCAATTATATCATTTGATGCATAATCATGTTCGAATGAGCCAATCGGGACTTCCCGCAGACCCTTATGTAGAAAAGATAGAGAAGACTGTTAAAAGGTTACTTTCCTTTGTGAACATATTTTACTAAGTGTTTCTTAGGCAATTTTATAAATTGGGCATGAACAAATTCTGATTATTTGCACTAATCATCTAAGGATTTCAAGTATGGAGTTTAGAGATATCAGCATAAAGGAAGATGCCTGGCAAAAAAGCATGCAAAAATTGGACTGGGATTTACTGGATACGTCGAGTAGGTGTCACTACTCCTCGTTTTTTCATAATTACTACCAATGTATAATGTTTATAATTCAAAAGCATCAATTCGTGGAATGGCTGACATTTTTATAAGAAGCGAGAATGATAATCTTATTACAATGTGGTATTGGGAACTTAAAAATGGCTTGATTGATGCATGTAAATGTCGACCCCTTTGTAAATTGTCGTCTGCGTCAGGTAAATTAATAAAGAACTCTTTTTGTTCTCATATGAATGAGAACTTATACAATTCATTCTATTACTTCAAATGAAGTCAATTTATTCTATGATATCGTTGCATATGATATCACATACACTTCTGGAATAGCACATGACAAAAAAAATACATCAAAGGTACTGAAGTTTAGCACAAGACATCGAGGGCGTTGTTTGCTTGTTTCTATAATAAGGTACATATTTTTTGATGATTAATTGATTTCATTAGTGATTTCATTTGACTGCATTTTTGACGTTAAACTCATGATGATATAAGAGAAGATCCAAAAACGGGATCAGGCACTGAACCGGATTCTAATTATGACATAAAATTTGATCATCCCCTTGTTTTATCAACTATCAAATTTCGTGAGATGATTCAAATAATTACTACTTCAGGTAAAAGCGAGAAACGGGATGTACATTTTATTTCGCCGGAAATGGAGCTGTCACGTTTTATTACTGGAGTATTGTGGAATGAGATGGATTGTTTATTTTAATAGGAATAATTGATTTCTAGTTCTCAATGCCGTATTTAGTAGTGGAAGTACTCAGATCTCTTATTTAAAAGCAGGTTTGGTTTGATTTATACCAGTCTCTTTCAATATACAGCCAATAAAATTGCAATAAATTTAATAAATTTGAAATATGCCCAGTATAATCAAGGAGATTACAAGATACGGTGTAGTGTTTGGTTTAATTCTGATAATTCGGACATCACAAAAAAAGTGTTTTTAGCAAGAAATGAATTGCTTCCATAATTTAAAGTATGCTATCATTATTCGGAAACCATTACCTAATTTGAAAACTTCACTATCTTTAGAAATGAAAGTGAATCGAAGATTTGTCTATCCTACCATTATTGTATTAATAATGACAAATAAAGACAAAAAAAACGAGTGAACAAATCAGTGACATGTATTCGTGACTAATATACTGTACATACCTTATATATAAAAACAGTTAATATCGATGTGTTAAAATAAATATGAAGAAAAAAACAACTCATTCGAAAATTTTCTGCAAAACTATCTTTTCACACTTTACCATGATGTAATAAATATTCCATTTTCTTCAGTACATCTTTGAAGTCCAAATTTTCAATGCTATTAGAAAAATTTTTGTAAACCTCCGTTAAACCTTTTCCTGATGAAAACATCAAAAACCATTGAACGTCTCTTGTTCACTAATTAATGATATAAAATATATGATTCTTTTTGTTACAAATATAAATTTTATTATTTCTTGTTGATCGACATATCGACATAGCGTAAGTGATGGAAAATAAGAATGATCGCACACTTTGATATACGATAGGTTAAAAATCCTTTCTTGGTTATGTAATATACTTATCACGTGAATTCCGTTTATCACTAATGCGTAAACAAGTAATGATTGACATCGTACCACACGATATAGCAATAGAAAAATAGAAACGTAGATTAGTGTCACCTGTTCAAGTTACACGAATACCGAACACCGTGGGACGTTGGACTATTTGGCTCTCATAAATACTAGTTAAACTACGATAAGTTTAAGTTAAAGGTAGTAATTTTTGCTTCGTTGGTGGGTGGGTGTTAATTAATAGTCATATTCATTGAACCATTTGCCCTTAAGCAAGCAGTATTCTTCATACTCACACCTATTTATTTTCCAGCGGTGGTATTAAACAAGCCCGACGAAATGAAAATAACTCCCGATCACATATATGGTGGCATTCCAGTATTCAGACCAACCTGGGATCAATTCAAAGATTTCAGGGCGTTTGTAGCCGCGGTAAAACATTATGGCTATGATTCAGGTATTATAAAAATAATACCGCCGGAAGAATGGTAAGCACATCACTTTACTCAAGTCTTATGCTTTTTGTGGCTTTGCAAATGCAGAGATGTTTTTAATTCAAAAAATTTTTATTCTTTTAATGTCAATTTATTATAGGAAAAAAACACTTCCAAAGGATTATTCTCGGCAATTAAGCAAGATTTCAATCAAAAGTCCATGCCAACAAATGGTTATGCGTGATACTACGGTCGGATACTACGTCGTCCGAAATATAGAAAGTGATAAGACCTACACCGTTAAAGAATGGGCTGAATTATGCGAAACATCAAAATATGCTACTCCACCTCCCAAGATGAAAAGCTCTTCTTCCAAATCGTCTCAACGAAAAAGTAATAATTACGGAAAGGTCCCTACAAACCATTCGCCTAAAAAACGTAGCACATCCAGTCAATCACCACCCGGGACGCCACCACGTGCGAAGAAACGTGCTCCAGAAATTACTCAGACTCCTCCCGAAACACCACCAAAAGTTTGTACGTCGGGATCAAGCAAGGCTATTACTATGATCTCCGACTTGTCACTACCTGAACAGGCTAGCATGACCGACTCGTTTGTAGATAATGATTTTTCATTACAAGACTACACTGATGGCAGTGAAATTGAAGAGGAAGAGGTTGTGCTCACTTCTGGACAAGTGACTACCGAATTCCTGCAGCAAATGCCTGAATTACAAGCTGCAATGCCGTCTACAATCACACATACTGTAGGACCTTTATCTGAACCTACCATGAAACCTATAAAAACAGAAGAATCGAATATGGATTTTGAAAAATTTGATTACCGTTCTGTCAACAGACGACCGTTTAATGATGATGAATATATTAAAGAACTTGCTGTTTATTATTGGAAGAATGTGACATATACCCCACCCTATTATGGTGCGGATATGGCAGGTGATTATCAAAATTCGAGGATTGTCATTTATTGTATCACGTTTGCATTTTCAACTTTTTTTTTCATCAGGTACTCTATTTACTGATACAACCAAGTCGTGGAATGTAAATTGCCTCGATAACTTGTTGAATACTATCGATCCGATTCCTGGCGTAAATAATGCATACCTTTACTTTGGAATGTGGAAAGCATGTTTCCCATGGCATGTCGAGGTACTCATTTATGTTCTCGACTTGCTCATTAAAAATAAATTAAGAAACGTAAATAACTTCTATTTCATTGAAATAGGATAAAGATTTATATTCTATTAATTATATCCACTTCGGTGCACCAAAGCATTGGTATGCTATATCTCCAAAACGAGCTGACAAATTTGAACAGCATATGAGAGGTAATAATACTTGCATAAATTTGTTTTCGTCGCAGTATGCAATGCTGCATAATAAATGCACTTAAAAATACTTAATCTGTAAAATTATGGGATGTCAACTTTATTGAAAACTCCGAGTGGCGCAGTTTGTTATTAGGAGAATTGTAATAGATGAATTTTTCTCATTCGGTTAAATGTATAACGGCTAACAATGTATTTCGATTAAATTCTACAAAATAAATATAAAACCAGGCTGGTTTGGGTATGCATCCAAGAATTGCTCTGAGTTTCTGCGCCACAAAGAGTTTCTTGTTTCGCCTTCTGCTCTCGACCGTGCTCCAATTCTTTACAACCACGTTGTTCAACGAGAGGGAGAATTTATCATAACCTTCCCTCGAGGATACCATTCAGGATTCAATTTAGGATTTAACTGTGCAGAAAGTGTTAACTTTGCCTTCGAAGACTGGATTGAGATCGGAATTAGAGCAAAATCATGCGCATGCCGCCCGGATTCTGTCCGAATTGATGTCCGAGCTCTCTTTGGTCATTTGTTGGAACCAGAACTTACAAATACAAACTCACAATCAATTATTCCGTCATCATCATCATCATTATCATCATCATCATCATCATCATCATCGCCACGAAAAATGGTTAAACAAACGGCACCACGGAAAATGACCTCGGTTGCCTCACATTCAAAAAAGACAAAGATTAAATTATCTTCTGATTCTTTTGGTTCTACATCAACCAAAATTGTACTTTCTCCGAAAAAGGGTAGATTGAAATCTCACCCGAATAAAGCAGGTAAATAATCATGTGATACAGCAGCATAAACGAGATACAGAAGTACTTATTAATGTATCCAAATAATTATATAAATATAAATTACTAAAGTTCACCAGGTAAGATATAAACATAAAATTTTCTTCAGAGCTCTTATAAATTTACCTAACATTGGCAATGTTTCTTTAGTGCTATTTATGTCCAAATAAATACAGTTATGACGAAGAAACATTGGAAGGAGGTGAATTTGAGCTTATATCCAACGACGATGGCAGTCAATATGCTCATGGGTAACTGCTAGTTAATTATATCTACTTTATTATTTCCACTAATAATTATCATTGCTTAAATTTGAATTATAATCACAATATTAGTTTATGTGCAATGTTTGTTCCAGAAACATGGATTGCGAGTACAGATGGTTCAATGACTGATTGTAAAGTTATTGAAACAGAACCTATACCTGTATACCGGTTTGAAACGGTAGGCTCGTGAGATTCTCGTATGTGTTGTCCATGCTATTTAAATAATATTAATAATTGATCTTGGTTCGCTCCTTTAGGAATGTCAGGTTTGTCATACCAAAGCAGGTGCATGTGTTCAGTGTCAAGAGGCTGGCTGTACAAAGGTAATTCGGTATTATAAAACTTAATTCCTCGAGACTTGTGACTTAATATTGTTTGATTTATTAACACCTACTTTAGAGCTTTCATGTATCATGTGGAGACAGTGATGGGAATCAATTCAAAGGAATTGACTTAGAAGGTCAAATATATTATGTGATCTATTGTAAAACGCATCAAAAGGTACGCGAATAATGTTAACGTCTGAATTTTACCAAATATTAATAAAATTATTTTTTCTTAATTATAGGATCATGCTGCTATTATGGACATTTTAGGTATGGACGATGAAGAGGAGGTTTCAGATTCTGAAGAATTTAATGCCATGGAGTTGGATGTATCTTGGAATGGATAACAATAAAATTATGGTGTAATTCACTCGGGTCTTGCTTTTCTTTCTTAAATCATGGGTTACGATATTGGTATTTGCATTTTTGCGTGAACACCATTCTTTTGCATGATTTTATAACATTTAGCAGGATTGGTCAGTAAACGCGTAAAAATGTAATGTAAATTTTTGCTAACAATAATAGCTTTGTTCATTACTTATCAGTAATGATTTAAAGCATTAATTCGCTGTAACGCATTGAAAGTTGTAGTGATCGACTAGGAATAGTGTTAACATTTTACACCAAAAATAATCGTGAAATTGAAATTTTGTAATTAATTCTTCAGTTTAGGTACTAAATTGGATTGGGTTTATTAGGTTTTTTTTTTTTTTTTTTTTTTTTACAAAAAATGCATTAAAAAAACAATTAAATTAACAAATATACAAGGTATGTGGGTATTGGTGGTGTGGAGAATTTTTAATATATTAATTATGACTACAAAACTAATAGTATTATTGATATTAATAACTATTTATAATTAAGTTAATGTTTTTTATACAGAATAGTATTACTGTTATTGCTAATGTATAATAATATGGTTAGACAATTTGATGTAATACAGTAGTACAATTTTGTATAGATAGTATATAATAATTATTATATACTGTGCTGTGCTAAATTTATACTAATATGCCAAATTGGCTTATATAGTAGTGATTAGATATTATAAAGTATTAAATTTGACTTGTTTAGCTTATGCAATATTTGAATAAAATAATTTGATATGATATAGTATAGTATTGTATTGATATAATCAAAGTTTAAAATTTTTTAAAATTAGGTATATATATTATATATAACAGTATATCGTGTTTTAGGTATAATCGTTAAAAAATTTTAAAATATTTAAATAAACAATTTTTTATTTTATATAATTTAATTATACAGTATTTTTTTAAAAAAATAAATTTAATTATAATATTCTGTTATATAATGATATTTACTAAAACGCATCTGTGATATTTTATATTTATGTATATATATACAAGTTTACTAAAATGCACCTATGGTGTTCAACACCATAGTAAGTAAACTGGATCGGGTATTCTAAGTAAAAATGACCAGGACCCCAAAAACCTTATAAATACTAAAATTAAAACCTTATATCTAATCTACATTATATAATATATAAAAAAAAAAATTATTAAAAAATGCACCCTAACCTTAAATTTTATTAAAAACAATTATATATGATGCTAAACACCATAGATGTATTTTATAATAATTGTATATACATTATACTGTATATTATTACAAAAACTAACTAATTAATTGGTGTAAAATATTCCAAGTAAAATTTTTTACGCCTCTAAAAACTCTTTCTAAATTCTAATTTTAACTTTAAATATTGACCCGAACGTAAAAAAATTTGTATTAAAAATTTTATATACAAAACTTAAAAAATATAAAAAAAATAATAATAAAATAAAAAAAGTTTTTTAATTAACACCAGTGTATAAAACGGGTATAATTTATAAAAAATTTAAAACAAAATTTAGAGAAAAAATTAAATCAAATTAAAGTTAGGATAGGCTAGGGTTAGAGGTAGTTTATACTGAAATTTTATATAGATTTTTTTTTGTTAGAACTCAAAGTGGTTTCATAAGCAAAATTTTGAGTTACGTGTATTAATATACCCGTGTTTTATACACTAGTGTACAAATAGAAATTGCCAAGAATAAATAAGTATAAAATATTATAGATATGTTTTATAATAACTTATATATAATAATTTTAGAAATTTAAACTTTTTATTATAATTATACCTAATTTTTATTTATAATGATTTTATATAATAATATAAATTTTTATAAAAAAATTTATATATATAATTAAATAAGATTAGAATTAAATTAAAATTAAAAAGTTTATATATACTGTATAGGATTTATTAATTTTGTGCACTTTGCACAGCTATGCACCCTATAGTAACAAATACAAACAATAATTAGGATTAGGGTTAGAATTAGGGTCAGGGTTAGAATTAGAAGGTTAGAGGTTAGTTAGGTTAGGGTTAGGGTTAGGATTAATTTAAACTTAAAATCTAAAGTAACTTCACGAAAAAAGCATTTTTTGTTAAGAATACAACAGGAGTTATCTTAGTAAAATTTTGAGAATACAACAGAGCTACTCTAGTAAAATTTTAAAAAACATAATGGGGTGCACAGCTGTGTAGGTGCACTAGGGTTGGGCACAGAGGTTGGAGGCATGCCCCATGGGGCATGCCCCTGGGGCATGCCTAGGTGCATGCCCTTTAACCAAAAGG